TTTTATATTTACTTTTAAATTAAGAAATTAAATAATATATAATACTAAAATTTGAATTGTAATCTACAGTTTGATACCAAACTTAATGACATAAATTCATAAAATAGTAGTTCAATAAAATTTCTAATGCGGGTCAAAAATGCGATGACATGGCCTTTGACCTGTGACCCATGTGGAAAGGGTTAATTATGTTCAATTTAGTTTACTACTACAGATTTGCCTTTTCTTTCACTTCATACAGATCTGTACCTCTTCATAAATACCTCTCTTGAGGGTTGGGAAGCTGTCATGGAAGAAACAGTCTTTTGGGTTTCTTGTCTCCTCAGTTGTTAGAATCTCACATTAATCTTTTGGATCTTTTGTCAATTCAGTGTTCTTGTTAAGTGTTTCTACCCTTGCTATACCACCATGTTTTATTTCACACAAACTTTTCTACAGAAGTGGCATATATTAACGATCAGGGAGGATCTCGGTTTCACATCATACCTATTTATGAGCCTGTTTTGTTTCAAGTGTTATGGACATTCTTGCAGATTATCTTTCAGAGGCTTCATTGTCCTCTGATCAGTGCCTTTCCAACTGCAGAAAACCATCTATTCCACTTTACTAGTCTGCAGTAGTAGATCCTGCTATGTGTTTTGTTGCATTGTCTGGGCTTTTGCTCATCATCTTCATGCTCTGGGAGAATGTGATTTCATTATTACCTTAACAACTGACTCCTGCTGGCTCATTCCAAACAGAAATTGGCCACTCATACCCACCAACTCCTTTCTGTGGCAGCTCGAGTGGGCTAGTTTATCAAACTGTAGAAGGCATTCCTTAGACCTACATAATACCCAGTCCATCTAGGGGTCTTTTTTTACACCAATATCAGTCGTGCCATGCTTTCTCCTTTATGTCTCTGGTCCATGGAACTTTTAGTTCATTGAGTCTTCACGACTTGGTCACTTACTGTTTGCATGGTTCTATCACTTCTGGGGATGTGGCCCTCCATGACTGCACTTATCCCTCTTGATCATGCCCACATGAGATCCCTGCAATGGGCACTTCACGACAGAAGGAACCTTGCTCGAGATTATCTTTCCACCTTCATCTCCCTTCCTCCTTCCCTGTGACTATGGGGCTCTGGCCTGTGGTTCTGCCAGGGCCTCTGCCTTGAAGATGTTGGATCCCAGTCATCATCTGGAGCTTCAGCTCTGCACAGGGGCTTTACGCACTTCTTCATCTCTAACATTTGCAAATGTCTCTGCAGTATGCTAGCAAGCTTAGATTCTTACCACAGCATCCCACCTGGGGTTATGTCTTTTGGAATAGATGGTCTGCCATTCTTTCTTTTGGTCTTTGCATCCAGGCATAGCTGTCTGAATTGGGTCTGTCATTGGATGATGTTGCTGTCTCCAATGGTCAACCCACCATGCCATGGCTTATTAACATCCCCACCTCTGACTCATTTGAGGAAGGTGGATACTCCTGACTGGAAGTACCTTCTTCTATTCACAGAATAACTTTCAAACCATTCTTCTGTTTCCATTTTTATGGATGGTTTGAAATTAGGTGACTCTGTGGGCTCTGCCAGGGTTTGTTGTGGCTCAGTGATTGCAGATTCTATGTTTACTGCTGAGTCGTATGCCATTTATCTTGCCTTGGATCACATAGAAGCTATGCAGTACACTGATTGTACTATTTACACTGACTTCCTTAACTTTCTACTCGCCCTGGAATCTCTTACATTAGTTCCCACCCAGTTCTCTTCGATATATAACAACGACTGACCTGTTTTTCTCTATCTTCCATTGCTATCCAGTTTTTCTGGATACCTGACTATGTCGGTATTCGCACAAATGAGCTTGCTGACACCACAGCTAAGACCGTCTGTTCTAGTCCTGTATTCAAATTATGGCTTCTCGCCAGTTGACAGTCGACTTGGAGTGAGTAACTTCATAACAAGCTTTTCCAGATCAAAACCTTCTGTTGCTCATTGGCCATTTTGTATCTGTAAGGATTGGAAGGACGAAATTGTCCTGGCTAGGCTATGGATTGGTGATAATTTTGTAACTCATTGTTTTCTTTTATCTGGAACTGATCTGCCAATGTGTGGCCTTTGTGACACTCAAATTACAATAGCCCACATTTTACTGTTATGCTGTCGTTCCAACCGTGAGCAATGGCACCATTTGAGACATGTATTTTCTACTGGTTTACCCCTGATGTTGTGTCATTGGTGATGGTGACACTGCCCAACTAGATTGTGTTTTTAATTTTTTATGAGCCATTGGCCTTTTTTAATTCTATTTGAGTCTTTTATCTGAATTTTGGACCTTGTTTAGTTTTTAACTCGATTTATTTTGACATTTTATATTATTTTAATTTTAAGATTTTTACTGGTTGTTTGGCACAGATAGCTTAGTTGCTTTGCACCAAAAAATGCCAAACAACTCGATCAACATTGTGGACAGATGCTTGTAACTGGGAAGAACATACCGAGCATCCATGGCTGCCATTAGATCTTGAAAATCTTTTAACTCCACAACTGAGAAAGGTTGCAGTGTACCAACAATAAAATTGACAAGTTTGTTAGTGATGTGCTTCTGATGAGGGTGTGTATACTTATATTTCATTGATTCTGTACAGTACACTGCTATTGTAGGCTGCTGTACCTGGGTGGAACTACCAGATGCAGATGTAGACTTCTGTAACTCTGCTTCATGATTACGCTAGAAATACACAAGCATATCCCATTTATATAATAAAGAATATAGTTTATAATGAAAATAATAAAAAAATATAATAATAAATAAAAATGATGAATATTGTTCAACCCATGAGAAAGTTTAACTATATAATATAGTTTATAATAAAAATAATAAAAACATATATGCTGCTAATTAAATGAAAATAATATGGTTTAACCAGCAAAAGAAATTTAGTTTACCTATATTATATTGTATAATGTACATAGAATATAGTTCATATTAACAAGAATAATAAAAAGATGTCTTCAGATGTCTCAGCAGGTTAGAAGTGTTTTTTCCTGAAGTAGAAATAGTTCACTTACAATATTTACACTTTGCCTTGATGTGACGAAATCTAGCAGTAGAAAGTATGAAGTTTAGTAGCCATCTCAAATTATCTGAAGTCACTTGACTGGATTAATAACCATCTAATACAATAACTTTTAAGGTGGTTGGAGAGTACTGACCTGATTTAACTGTAGATGTAAAAATGACAGTAGAAATTGGATGCGTACAAAAGTTGACATTTACTCTTACAATATTAAGTATTCACTAAATCATTCGGTGAATACAAATACTATGCCATTGTATTCAGATATGAATACTTTAATTTGCCCTTCCAAAGTATTTGAATACTAGTACAAATACTCCCAAAGCTGTATTTGAATAAATAAGAATACCCCATGTCAGGTGCCAAGTTCTTAAATGTTATTGAAGCAGTGAAATTTAACCTAGTTTCAATCTTAGGATAGATATTTGAGATAAATATTTTTACATTATTTCTAGCTTGAAAAATATTTAATTAACCAACAAAAACGTATATACTGTAGTTATTTAACTTAGACATTACAGGAGTATAGAATATACATTTAGTTGTGTTTTCAGAGTGGGGTGAACTTTCTGCATGTTCTGAACACTGATTTTTATATTAACTACATGTGTTTAGAAAGTTTTGTTGTAACTAATATGAAATAAATTCTAATTAGTTTAGTAACATTTTTGTACATGTACACTTGTAAGTTTTTCTATGCTATATTTGTTAGTGTTTATTAAGATTTGTTTTAATATTCATTTACAAGTTAGTTGAAACGAGAAGAAAAACTGGTGTATGTTGGTGTATAATACATGCAAACATTAGAATGAGCACATAGATTGATAACAAAAGTATTGAAAAACAATTTACACTCTTTGTAATTTAAAGATAATTAAATATTTCAATGTTGACTATTATCATATGTTTTTGAAAGTACAAGTATCACTACTATTTGACAATATTATAATTACTATAGAGAATGTAAAACAATTATGCATAATAGGGACTGCATGACCCCTCTTTACCTGTTCATTAATGAGAATATTAGTATTGGTGACCTGTCTTAAACTATGTAAGTGTGCTCCTATTTACCACTTCTAAAGATTATCTATACCTTTATTTGTAAATGCACAGGTAGTCGGACTATAATACATCCTACTGCACGTATTATTGCTGAAGCTGGACCAATTGTTATAGGAGAGAACAATCTCATTGAAGAACAAGTCCAGATAATTAACAGGTAAAGTTCCCATTTAGTTTTGTTCCCTCTATAAAGAGTTAAAGTTTAATGTAAACTGTAAACCTACTGAGAAACATGTTATCTTTTAATGCTGTACTTTAATTTTCAAAATTATTAGGGTTATGAAATTTTTATTACTCCTACTTTTAATTTTATGTATGTAACACCTTAACAATTTTATCTATTGGCCAATTATGCATTGGATCAAGTTTATTATGCTCTTGATGCTGATTCAGTAGCACTAGTAGTTTTAATGTATGTAAGTAGTTTTGCTACTTCAAAGGTATTTCTTAAAATTATTTTGTATTTGAAACAGTGTGCTTTTATTATATATTTACTGTTGTATTATATTTGCAGCATATAAAAAATGTTACCACTTTCAAGATATTTTCATAACTCCTTCCTTGATAAAATTATAGTTATAGAGAACAAACTTGCAAAGTAACTGCATACAACATGCAAACCCAGTTGAAAAGTTGTAACTAGAAGTCTTTCACTTTGTGTTAAAAATGATGATACATTGTGCTATTTATTATGTAATATGTACACATAATATTAAACTTGTTACAGATTGAAAAATACATTTGTAAAAAATTAAATGTAGGATCACCCTAAGTGTTGCATTTGTGAACTTTTTCTTAGCACCAGAGTCTTTTCAACAACATACATATATGTTATATACTTGTAATTACAAGAAGTGCATGGATGTATTTTAGCAATGTGTAATGAATTTTAAGGTATAAAGTCAAACAGTGAACATGGTGGTACAATTCAATCAAAATTGAAAAAGTTGAAAAACAATTATATTGGGTCATCAAAAAAGTAATGTCACTTTTTTAGATGAAAAAAACCTGAACAACTTGCATATCAAAACAAACATTTATTTAATGAAATAGTCTCCATTCTTATTGATGGTGCTTTTCCATCTTACAATCAGGTTGTTAATGCCTTGACTAAAGAAATCATTTGGCTTTGAAGCAAAAAACATGTTGATATCCTCTTTAACATCTTCCACATTTGCATACATTTTCTTATTAAGATGGTGTTACAGCGAACGAAAAACATGGTAATCTGATGGTTCCATGTCTGGAGAATATGGTGGGTGGGGGAGAATTTTCCAACCCAACTCCATAATCTTGTGTTGCATCAAACGTGCCACATGTGGATGTGTATTGTTGTGGAGAAGAAGAACACCTTTCCAATTGAAACAAATGTTTAAAATCACCACATGAAAGATGTTGTTAACTATATTGCCATCACGAATATTTGAAGTACTTTATTTGCACTACTTTTCCCCACTATCTTTTGATCATGCGCAAGAAATTGAAACAGTGTATCTTTTGAAAACCGCCATTACAATGAGTTATGTTGTACATATATGAATTAAAATTTATTGTGCATCGACCCAAGTTGAGAGTGATAATTGGTAGCAGAGCATGGCTCAAAGTAACAGTTACAAGAATCCATTGGCATTAGGACCAGATACAGTTTATGAGATTTGGAAAAACAAAGTCAAAGTGTGTAGACTGATGACAGACCTCAACAAGAAGAAATAGGATTTGATGGTTACTTTATTTCTAATTTGCCAGGAGAAAGCAAAAACATTTGAAATTAATATAAGTGATTTGAATTTGAAAGATGGAATGGATGTTTTGATTGAGGCTCTTGATTCACTTTTTATGAAAGAAGCTGTAGATTTAGCCTATGAGGCATACTCAAAATTTGATTTGTACAGTAAACCCAAGACATGCTGATGTCAGAATCTATCATTGAATATGAACATCTATAAATGAGATGCAAAAAATATAAAATAGAATTTCTAGATGCTCTTTTGTCATTAAAACTTTTGGACAGTGCAAAGTTAACACAAAGAGACAGGAAACTTGTGCTGACAGCAACATCAGACTTATTTTTCAGTGAAGTCTGCATTGAAGATTTTTTTTTTTTTTATGGTCATGTGACAAGTGAAACATACTTTGAGTGGCAAGACAAAAAGCATAATGATAAAACAAGAAGTGGCTTATGTAATGGAAAATTTCACTTCAGATTCTGACACAAAATATAAGTTTCAGCAAAGCTGTCAACCTCCAAGAAACAGAAGAATTAACAATACTCCTTAAGTAATCAACCCATTAGATAAATATGGTAGAAGAACAAATTGTATGATCTGTCATTCAGCATTTTATTGGGTCAAGGATTGTCCACACAAAACTGAACAGGCTACCTGTGTAACTGAAGATGACAGTGGAAGAAACATCACATGACTTATGACTGAGGTACTAGGCTGTGCTGTAATTGATACTGCATGTACAAGAACAGTATGTGGAAAAAAAATTTAAAATTACTTGGAGGGCTTAGAAAACAAACAGAGGGGTACTGTTGTTAACATGACAAATCTTTCAAGTTTGTAGATGGTGCAAAAGTGGTGTCATATAAAACTGTCACTTTACCTGCTACAGTAGGAGTAACAATATGTAGAATCAACATAGAAGTAGTGAGTGCAAGCATTATTATTTAGTAAAACATCTTTTAAGAGAGCACAAGCAAAGCTAGACATTTGCAATGATAAGGCTGAAATGTTTGGCAACCCTGTGAAATTGGAATTCATGTCAAGTGGACATTATTGCATAAATATTCAGTTATAAGATACAGAGAACAAATATGAAGATGAAAAGTAACAGGGTGAAATATTTGTTGCTAGTGGCAGTGAGTTTGATAATAAGGAAACACCAGAATCATCAGAAATTTTGGTTATCAATGACAACACAAGCAAAGCTGATAAGAAGAAAATGTTGATCAAACTTCATCGTCGGTTTGGACATGCATCAGTGGAATGTCTAAGAAAACTACTAGAGAATGCTGGCACAAAGAATGTGGAAGTTTTCAAATACCTGACAGATATTGTGAACAACTGTGAAGCGTGTTACAAATATAAGAAACAGTCTTCTAAACTAGCAGTAGGATTTTCCTTAGCCAAAGACTTTAATGAAACTGTAGCAATAGACTTGCATTAATTGGGAAGGAGCTTATGGTATCTATACATAATTGATGCGTTTACAAGATTTGGTGCAATAATCACAAGTAAACTATCATCCATTTTCATACAGAAATTCATACAACACTGGATTGGTATACATGGTACTCCTAAATGGTGATAACAGAGGTGAGTTTAATAATGAAGAAGTCAGGGATATGTGTGATGACTTCAACTTAAAAACCACAGCTGCATACAGCAGTGGTTTGCTAGAGTGCCATAATCAGACACTCACAGAAATCAGATGGAAGATTAAAGCAGAAAAAGACTGTGATTGGGAAACAACATTATGTTGGGCCGTAGCAGCTAAGAATAGTCTGTGCAACATTCATGGATACAACACCTACCAGTTATTCTACAATAGAAATCCTAATCTTCCTTCTGTAGTTCTTGATAAACCTCCATTAGAAGGCACAATTACAAGCCAAGTTGTAGCCAAAAATATTGTTTCTCTGTATACAGCTAGATGTGTGTTCATGGAGGTGGAATGTTCTGAAAGAGAGAGAAAGGCCATAAGAAAACAGACCCATCTGACAACAGAGATATGTTCTGCAGGTGACAAAGTGTATTATTAATGTCCAGAGTGGAAAGGGCCAGTTACAGTTATTGGATAAGATGGTCCAGTGATATTTGTTCGACATGGTGGGATTGTAGTTAGGAGCCTATCAGTGTTGACTGAAGGGAGCAATCCAAACAGATCACAGTTCAAATGATGATGATAAGTCAACCTCAGTTGAGATGGGTCTGTACCTTGAAGAATTCAGATGATAATGTAACCACTAAAGCCAGACTAGTGGTGAAAGGTTTTGAAGTAGTAGATAAAGACCAAAAGAATCAGTGTGTCTCATACTAGCATTGTTTGCTCAGAGTAATTGGAAAACATATTCAATAGATATCAAAACTGCCTTTGAGCAAGGACAAATTAAAGAAAGAGATATCTACATACTTCCACCAAAAGAAGCCAATGTGCTAGGAAAATTGTGGTAATTTCAGAAATGTGTGTATGGTCTAGGTAATGCCTCATTACAGTGGTATAATAGAGTGAAAATGGTTATCACATATCTAGGAGCAAAAATTTCTAAGTTGCTCCTGCCATATTCTATTGGATGGAGAAGCAAAGGATACTGATAGGTGTTTTAGCTAGTCATGTTGATGACTTTATATGCGGTGGAGCATCTGAATTTGAATTAACAGTGATTGATTGTGTAAGATCCACATTTTCTATTAGAAAGGAGTATAGCTGTGCATTTCAGTATATTAGTATTTGGTGCTAGTTAGTTATGGTGAAGAAAGATATTTGCATCAAAATGAATATGTGGACAATTTAGACCCTGTACAAATACATAAAATTTGAGCTAGACAAAAAGATTTTCCCTTAACAGACAAGAAGAGAGACCAGCATTGATCAAAAGTGGGACAAATTTTATGGGTGGCTCACCAGAGTTGACCAGATATTTTTTTGATACATGTAGTAACCTAGCAAATATCAAATATCAAAATTGCCACAGTAGGAGATATAATACAGTTAATAAAGTAATAAGAAAAGTCTAATCTGAGACTGTTCCACTTAGATTTCAACATTTGGGAGAATGTAAATTGTCACTTGCCATTTTTAGTGATACATCTTTTGGAAACCTATTGGACAATGGAAGTGAAGGATTCAGTTAGTTGGTAAATCAGGGAAGTTTTCACTCGTGTGTTGGAACTCTATAAAAATTTGATGTGTTGTCGTAGCACTTTGACTTGTGAGATGTTAGCAGTGGCTGAGGATATAGATGCAGCAATATTTATTGCAACTCTTCTGAGCTGAGTATTGGTAAACTCAACTCAGAGGTATTACCACTTGTCTTCATTATGGACTGCAAGTCACTTGTAGATGCTGTAAAACCAGACAAGTTCATCAGTGAAAAACGTTTGAGAATTGAGATCAATGGAATTAAAGAAATTGTTGAAAGTCATCAGATTAAAGAAATTATTTGGTCTGAGAATGGAAAACAACTAGGTGATTGTGTGACGAGAAAAGGGGCTTCATCTCTTATGTTAATGAAGACACTTGAAGATGGTATATTGAAATTTTAGAGACTTTATGAACTATAGAACAATGTTATTTTAATGTTGGTGTTATTTGTTCCTCTTTAATGTTGGACATTCTTCTGTTGTGTTGAACTATAGAACCATGTTATTTTAATTTTGGTGTTATTTGTTCCTTTTTAATATAGGACATTCTTCTGTTGTGTTGAACTATAGAACCATGTTATTTTAATTTTGGTGTTATTTGTTCTTTTTAAATGTTGGACATTCTTCTGTTGTGTTGAACTATAGAACCATGTTATTTTAATTTTGGTGTTATTTGTTCCTTTTTAATGTTGGACATTCTTCTGTTGTGTTGAAGTTTTAAATGACCAGTTATTAATCTGAACTTCACTAAGAGCTTATGATAAACATTTCTTAAAAAAAAAGAGTATTGTAGAATTTGTTAACGATATTGGTGTCACAAATATTTGGACTATTTTATTTGTACTACATTTCCACACTATCTTTTTAGCATGCACAAGAGATCAAAACAGTTAGTGTCTTCTGTGAAAACTGCCATTACAGTGAGTTTTGTTGTGTGTACATGGATTAAAATTTATTGTGCATCGACCCAATTGGGAGTAATAGACATCCCAGCACAAATTGGTGTAAACATTAAAAATGTCTATTTATCTTGTTTCTTTTGCTTGTGATATAAGTTTTTTTCTTTGTTTTCATTCTTTAGAATTTTAAGATAGTTTTGTTTTGAAATAAGATATCCCAAATTTAATTGTTGCCATTACTAAAAGTCTAGCTGATACTTGGTATTTGAAACATCTTTTGAACATTGCCATATCCATAAGAATTAACCTTGTGATAATGATGGACAGGTTTGAATTATTTCATTTTAAAGTAAAATTATTTTTTATACTGGATTTGCAGTACTGGAACATGGTGTAGTAATCTATATATGTATAAAGAAGATTTGACCTACGTATCTCATTGGTGCTTTGTGAACCTACCACAAGTAATGTATTGATTGGAAAGCTTGAAGCTTGAGTAAGTTTGTGTTATTTTTAGGAAAAAAAATGTATAAAGTGGGCCCAAGCCTAAATTCCATAGCTTTTGTTTCTTGTAATTCTCAAAAAAGATGTTGGACCAAAAGTATTGGGAAATTACATTATGTAATTAAAAAATTAGTGCTTTTGACAGGTGAATATGTCGAACACACTAGGGTAACATAATTACTATATTCTGTATTACAATTTGTTTCAAAGACTTTGTGAATTACTGTCTTATTTCTCCAGTAATTCGGCTTTTCTCTTAAGAAATTTCCCTCGTGTTCTTATTTTTTGAAAATTGTCTAACATGAAACCATTTGTCATGTGACAGTTCACATGTTTTTGTGGCAGTCATTCTAAATGAATAGATTTTGTTGAGTAAAGAATAACCTGTGTTGAGGGTGCTTGAAGTGATGACTCTGTACATTAATATATATATATATATATATATATATACACAAATATTGCTACTTCATATTGGATATTTCCCATTGGTTAATCTTCATTTGCCCTTTTTTATTTTTTAACTGGTTGTATTATAGTCATAGATGATCTTCTGGAGTTGTAAGGTCTGCACCATGTTATTTTAATGGACAAATTACCTGTACTTTAACAGGATAATAATGGTCAATGGATACAATGAACATTAGCAATGGATTGGACTGTGAAAGAAATAATGGAATTCTGGCCATGTGATCAGCAATACATTGCACACACACTTGTTTGTTCAGAATACCACTACTGAGCATAATTGTTTTTTTACAAGCAGTAGCTGTACAGTTTGGGTTTTAAATCATGTAAGATATATATATATACTGTAGTTTTATTTGGAATCTAGAAGTATCAATGATTTTTCTTTTAGAAAATGTTTAAAATCATTACATTTTAGTGTATGTTCTAATATCTAACCATAGGATTTCAACCGGTAGTACAGATGAATCAACTCCAGTGTTAACAATTGGAAGTAACAATGTTTTTGAAGTTGGTTCTTGTATCCTTTGCAAAATAAGATCTGTTAAAGTAAGGAAAAAATACATGGTAAAAATCATGAAGTTTGAAATGAAATATGAGTTTTAACACAATTTAGTCACAATTAATTTGTGCCTATTGTATTTTGTATGAATAGAGGACTAATTTTGCCAAAAGTAAGTTTGGTTGATAAACTTTTATCTTTTATATGGTATAATTGTTTATAGTTTTTTACAGAAATTACAAAATAATTATGTTATAATTCCAAAGAAAGATTGTGTAATATAACTCTCCATGACTGTGGAATAATTAAACCAGCCTTGAGTATAACTTGTTTGTTCAAGTTTCCTGTTTCTAGGTGGCCAAATTTTGTGAAGAGGTGCACACTGTATTGAAAGTTAGAAGTATTAAATCTATAAAGACTTAAACAGTACAAATTGATTGAGCCCATGTACATCTGGAATATCACCTAAACTCCAATCTTATCCAAATAAGCTCCATTGGTAAATTAATGCTCAAGTAATTAAGCATTACAAGGTGACACAAATTTCAAACCTCATTTTTGGGAGTCATCCCAATTCTTAGGAGTTCCATATTGACTTGCCAGGTTGCATACTTCCCTATCTTTCCTTGCTAATTACTTATCACAACCTTCCTCCTCCACATCTCCTGATCCTATTCATGTTTCTAGTCCTCCTGCTTCCATGTACATCTTGTTTTTTCCTGTGCCCATCAGAAACGTCGACAGTAGTATAGGAGATTACACAGTAGAGTCAGGTCGTGTGGAGGGCCAGTCTTCACCACTTTATTGACATTTGGGAAACCTTCACCACTGATCCATGAGTTCTGCAGTTTTGCCAGAAGGTCTCTTTCTTCAATTCCAGTCACCACTTCCTTTCCTTGTTTCCAGTTCCTTTCTCTACTTCAAAAGATCCTGTCTCACGCGGTCATCTGTCCGAGGCAGTGAGGGACATTCTTCTCAAGGAAGCTATTGAGCTGGAGTTTCCCATTCAGTGAGGATTTTACTCTTGGTTTTTCATTGTCACAAAGAAAACTCAGTTTCTGAATCCTCCTCATTTCTTTATGGAATCACTTCTGTTCCTTCATTGTATTTTCACTTCAGGTCTTTGGATGACCAACTTTGAAGTAGCAGATTCATATCTTCATTTTCCCATCTCTCCATCCTCACGTTGTTTTCTTTGGTTCATCATGAGGGATGTTTTCCAGTTCTGGGCTCTTCTGTTTGGGCTTGCCTCAGTTCCTTAAGTGTTTTGTTGGGTTGTTAAGACCTTTGTTCAACACCCATATTCGGTGGGACTTCGTTCTCATCATTCTATGGATGAATATCTTCTTCTGGCTCCTTTTTGTGTGCCGTCTTCTGACCACATATGTTTGCTCCTGGAGGAGCCTACTCATGTGGGTTGGTTAATCAAGTGGAGAAGTCTATTTTTTCCCCTGCACAGTATCTATTTCACTTAGAGGTTTTTTTCAGTTGTCACTTCAGTTGGGCCCAGTCTTCTCCACCATGTCTTTGGAATATGGAGAAGTTGGTCATCAAGGCCCTATCTTCTTATTCTCTTTCCAGCTCAAAAGATGTAGACCTTCTTGGAAACTCTCATACTCCTCGGTCATGCTCACACATATTCTCTCCAATGGGAATTCAATGGTTGATGAAACTTCAGCTCGGATTCCTTGGATCAACTGGTTGTACTTCCTTCTTCCCTTTGGACCAACTTTGCATGGTGGTTGGACAGAGACAATACTACAGCTGGTATTCCTCTTCCACCTTCTCATATGGACCTGCATCTTTTTACTGATGCATATCTTGAGGTGCATATCTTGATACCCAGGAATTGGTTGATGGCCACATCAGGATTTCATACCAATGTTCTGGAGCACTTAGCTGTTCATTAAGCTATGTCTCTTTGCCTCCATCTTCTGGGGGGAAAGGTGGTTATGGTGCATATCAATAACTCCACAGTGGTGTCATATATTACCAGGCAAGGGGGTACCAAATCCAGGTCCCTTTGTTTTGGGGCTCAGGAGCTCTTATTCTGGGCACATGTGCACCAGATACAACTTTTGGCTTGCCATATTCCCATGCTTTGAATCTTGTTGTGTATCAGTTGTCTCATTTGCACAAAGTAATTCCAATGGAGTGGTTCCTAGATCCTTAATATTTCCAATGGTTATGCTGTCATCTGGGAACCCTGCACATAGATGCATTTGCTACCAATAGAAACAACAAGCTGCCATCTTTCTGGTCTCTGGTTCCTCATCCTCAAGCTTTTAAAGTAGATGCCTCAGGCAGGAATGGAGGGCCTTCACATTTATAGCATCACACCTATATGTTATCTCACCAACGTAATATCCCTCATCCACACCATTCCATGTCAAGTTCTCTTGGTGACTCTGTTTTGGCTTGCTCAGCCTTGAGTCCCTCTCCTGAGGCCTCTACATTTGTCATCAACTCCGCCCCTCCTTCTGTCTCCTTTTTTCCTTCATCAGCCTCATTTGGATGTCCCCATTCTGCCATTCCCATCCTTTTCATCTTGTTCTGGTCCTTTCATATTATTTGTCCTCACTGTGCTTTTCCTCTGCCTGTTTGGAATCTCAGTATTGTCCCTTTTGCCCTTTCCCAACCTCCCTTTAAACCTTTGGCTTCATGATCCTGGCATTATCTTTCCCTCTAGACCAATTTCTTTCTCCTCCTGGCTTGTGGTCATCATAGGTCTGTCTTTTTTTTTGTGATTGATGTTTTTACCCTTTATCATAGTAAATATATTGTGCTATACTGTACTGTAACTTCTTCACCAAGACCTCTTCTGCTTGTGAATGCAATTCTATCTTTGCTCTCATCCCCATCCCTTCCATTTCCCTTATTTATTTCAGGTCTGATCTGGATATCCTCCTGTGTCTTGTGCATGCTTAGTGGTGTTATATGACTCTTATGGCTTCCTTTTCTGGTTCCCACTCCCATTTGTTTATTCACTGAAACCATTCTGTGTCACATGACTTGTCCCCATCACCCTTAAGGGTAGGGTTTATCAGCTTAATAGGTTGACTTACCCTTCCCTCTCCTTGGAAGGGCATCATCTTTATCATGTCTCGTCTCATCAGATTCAACATATCACCATGTCTCTAGTAGCTTGATTTCGTCATCCGCTGGAGGAGATCATCCAGGCTGGAATGTGGACTACTTCCCATACCTTTATCGCTCATTACCTACACCATCTGGCTGTGTCTTTCTGTGGTGAATATCATCTACCTCCTGTGGTAGTCTTACACACAGTGGTTTAACTCTAACTTGGGTATCTTTTTCTGTTATGTTTTCTTTCAGGGTCCTCCTTTTTCTTTGATATATTTTCAGATCCCACTCAGTGGTGAGTGTTGCCTGGTCAAGTAGGCTTTCCTATAAATCTGCACTGTTTATGTATGAGAGGGGTTGGTGTATATATTACTAATGGTTTACTTGCCCTGGCCATCATACAACCTATATCCTGGTTTTGATCTTATATGGGGTCCTTTGCCTCATAATACCAATGACAGGATGAGGAACCTTGCCTGTATGGTCGGGGTTGAGTAGATGAGAACTGGTTATTGGCTTTATGTTTTTTCCATGTGTGTTTGGGATTATCTATTAGTGTCTGTTATTTCTTTATGCTACTTGTGACTTTTATCCTTCCCAGAATTAGTTTGTTTCTGGTTATGTTTGTATGGTTGAGGATAAAGTGGGACTCACATTGATGTTTTACACCAGAGACATTGTTTTCAGAGGTCTTTCTTTTACTTGCTTCTGGCTCAATGACACCCATTTCATTACACAGCACTTCTTCATGGACAAAGAGCATACTTGTTCCAGAAGGGGAGAGTTCCACATGTGTCTTCCATTTAAGTACAGAGTATGCCTGTTTGATTCTCTACAGATGCTTTCAGAATGGAGTCTCTTGTTTTATTTTACACTGGTCCCTCCAAGTACTGAATGTGGGATTTTAGTTATTGTGTGAGAAGAGGTTTGTCTCATATTGAAAGTTGTCCATTAGATACTTATCTCCTGTCAAACACTTCCCACCCTTCCTCCCCACTTCCAGTGTTCTTCTGTTTCTGTGGGCCTAATCTCGATAGTGAGATTCATGTAAAGTAGAACAGAGGGAACCACCTGCTCTAGGAGAGTGTGTCTTACTCCTATTGGTGGAGGATTATTGCATGCTATGTGCATGCTAAATGAACAGCTCAAACTTGTGGGGTATAAAGGCTAGCAAGAAAATTTCTTTTCAATGCATGAAAGGGCAGTGGAAGATCACGAAAAGCTATTATGTGAGGGTAGGTAAGTATCCATAGGAAATCTATTTTCAGTGTAATAAAATGATAACTTTCAGCATTTTGTAATACAGCTATAGCTGAAAGAACTTAAGCTTGATTTTGAAGGACTATTATATGAAAAGTAATTAATCATAGGGTATTTTACATGTTTTAAAAAATGGTGTCACATTTTATTGTTATAACTGAGCTTATGTTATGCGTATGTATGTATGTATGTATGTATGTAATATGTTTTGAATAAATTGATGTTTGAGAATATAATAAACTTCTTAACAATTTTGCCTTAAAATGATTTGTATAGATACAGCTTCTTTGAAAATTGGGGATAATAATATTCTTGAATCAAAAGGTAAGGTGTAATATAGAAACAATCTTTCTTGTTGGTATATAAAAACTAGTTCATTGGGTAATATCTAACTTTATTACACTATAGGTATATCTAGTTGTTAATAGTTGATGCATAATTGTTTTGTTTAGCTGTCAACATTAAGTTCCTCATGTGTATATTGACATGTAGCTGTTAATATTTTGTACACTGTGAATGTATGTAGCTGTTAACATATTGTACGTACGTCATGGTTTTGTCTATCTGTTAACTTTTTGTCAGCTATAGGTTTATTTAGTCCATTACAGGTATTCACTTATGATCATTCATTGATGTTTAATTTTAAATCAGGCACTGGAATATCTAGCTGTGAATTATAATCTGTCTCGGGTATGTTAACAGTTAGCCCAATTTTAAAGTATCTAAATGTTAATTTTCACAGGATAGTTTGTCATAAATGTAGTTATCTTAATTTCTTTTACTTGTGTATATCGTGGACTTAACATTTTGTCCAATGTAAGTGTATCAACTAATGCCATTTTGTTGTTCATGGGTATATCTAACTACTAACTTTTCATCCCCTAGAGATTTATCTAAATGTTAACCTTATTTCATTTTAGATATTTACGTCTCTGCAGAGAGACATATTGTTTTTTCTATTGTTTCTTCTTTCTTTTTCTTTGAAACACTTTTCAACTAACTGCCATTCCTTCAGTTCTTGGCAGATTGACTTGAAACTTAGTAAGGTTATACTTTGGTCAAATACACTTAAATGCCTTTTTCATTTTTCTTTATTTAGGCCTTTTTAAGGATTTTATGGGTCAAAGGTCAAACAACCCCAAACTTTAAGGTTTCTGTGCAGTTATATTTACAGTAATGAAAGTGAAAATCAGCGCAAATATATATTTTCATGCACCCAACACACTGACATACAGAAAAGTTAAATTTGCCCATTTTGAGTCCTTTTAGGGGGCTAGAACTCTCAAAAAAGCATAATTTTGGGGTTTTTGGTCAATTACTTGGCCATATTTTGACCAACATATGTGGGACTTGGTACAAAGATGCTTTTCTACAGATCCCACACATTGACAAACAAATATTTTTAGTTCTTATAGGATGGTAAATTTGCCATAAAAAGTATAATTTTATGGGTTTTTGACAATTTCTTCACTGTATTTCAGCCAGTTTACATGGGGTTTGGTACAAAGATACTTTTTTTATAGTTCCCATACATATACATCCAAAATGTGGGATATGCCCATCTTGGGTCATTTTAGGGGGTCAAAAGGTTAAATAAACTCATAATATTAGGGGTTTTGATCAATTACTTACCCGTGTTTTGACTAATTTGCATGAAATTTGGTACAAAAATACTTTTCTACAGCCAACACACATTGACGAACAAAAATGTTGGACTTGCCCATTTTTCTTTGTTTTTATGATTTTTTTTGGTGTCAAAATTGGCCATGTTGGGATTGCGTGGTGGAGACATGTTGCATCCGCTGGTAAATTTTGGCCTCTTTAATATTTTGTACTATCTTTCATATGTATACATATATATCTTATTTAGCTGTTAACCTATAATTCACTATGAATATATATAGTTGTGAACTTAAGTTCTTGGGCATAGCACTTCAGAGTTCAAAGTTAGCACTAGCAAACTAGTTTTGCAGTTTTGCTAGTAAACTGTTGAACATAATTGCATGTGATATATGTATATATATATATATATATTATTTTTTTTTTGATAGTTTATATTGCAATATTCTGGATACAAAAGGCCCTATAATTAGGATTAGTTAGATTGTTTCAATTGTATATACCATGCTTGTTTTACAATCCTCATTTAAGCTATATAGCATACTATGGCCAAATATGAAGAAATGGGGATGGCAAGACTGCAGTTTCAACTAGTTCGATTGATTGCTAGTTATTAAGGCAATTAACACTTGTGTCAGTCAGCTAGACTTGCATTATTTGGCCTCTTTAGTATAGCTCTGCCAGCAGTGTGATTAGAAATAACTTGCCCAAGTGATTGCTCATTGGAGGTAATAATGAAAGAGAAATCACTTATGTTGCATATGTTTTCCACATCCCTCTTAACTTGTCAATGATTAACATAAATCTTACTGGAGGCCCATTGACTTCTAATAATTCTCCAGCTTAAAATAATTTGTTTTAGTATAGTGTGACTGTCAGCAGTGGAGTGCTGTAACTTTGTTGATTCAGGTGCTTGTAGTCTAGATACACTAGTACATACATTCAAGTCGAGCATCTTTTAACTTTTATGAAATAGTTAAAATAAAAATAATGTTATATATAATTAAAATTAATTTTGATATTTAAAAATACTTGTAAAGAAAACATGATAGAAGATACTAATAAACAGGATACATACATATATATATATATATATATATATATATATAACATTTAATACATGAAATAATTAATTATGACCCTGTTACCATTAATTTTACAGAATAATAATGTTTATTCTAGTAGCAGTTATGAATTTGCTACTAGGAGAAAAAATTATTAACCATCATTTGTCAAGTCTTCAAAAGTTGTATGTAGCTGTCTGGGATTTATTTAAATGCTAGTTATTGGTTCATCTTTGGTATTTCTAGTTGTTAACCTTTGATTCATAAAGTATCTAACATGTAGTTGTTAATCTATTATGATTATATCTATCATTGCTAGCCTTTTGTGCATTATGAACATACCTTGTAGTTAGCTTCTAGATAGATTTATGGTTTTAAATTCAGAAACAAAAATTATATACACATACACACACGTAAGACACATTTTTCTTGTTTTAAATACACTTGCAGTCCTTCACGTTTGATAGGTGCCATCACACTTGACCTGCTTTAAAGTGCCAGTAAAATGAGTTTTGCAAGTGCTTGTTAGAGCCCCTGTCAAGTCATTCATGATTCCTCCTGTTTTGGGCCCATTACTGGTCCTATTATTCTTCCCAAGAAATTAATACTTTTGAATTCAGGTCCTGTTATTATTTGTCATGGTACTGGCCATGCAGGTCAGCTGTTGTTCATATACAAATTAACTTTTATTGTCCAATTTTGTAAACAAAGAATCAAGATCCATCATCAGCCCTGTGGACACTTTGACAGGAGCTGTTTATATCCCTCATATATTTTTGAAACATGAATGTCTGTATTTATATAAAGGATACCTGGAAAATATATTGAATTTATTATCATGTTTATTTTTGAATGTTTCTGAAATACTACAAATTAAAGTATGGTAAGAAATTTATTCAAATTTGTTTTCTAAATATTTTGGAAACACTATTAGACAATATTTTAATATGATTTCTGAGCTTCCTGTGTAACACACAATATTTTGTATGAAAAGTTGTCAGTGTTTTATTCTTACGATAAGAATTGATTGTACTTTTCTAATTATGTTTTAATACATGTTGTATTTCCTATGTAATTAAAATATCAAATATTTTTTTGAAAACCAATGGTCTTTAACAATCCAAATAGTAAACTGTAAGGAAAATGTATTTTTTAATTTTTTATGTAGATAGGTAGAATGAATATTTTTGTATTATGATGGTAACTTTCATGGAATTATAAATATTGTAACCTCATTTATTTATGATAAAAGTTATTAATATAAGTAGAATTTTCTGTATCCATTTTAGCTAAACTTGGGAGACATGCTGAACTGACCAGTGGTTGTGTCATTGGGGCCATGTGTGAAATTACAACAAAAGAAGTTATTCCTGAGAATACAGTAATCTTTGGTAAGAAATGTGAGCGAAGAATTCAGGCAGAGAGACCAACGGTATGATTTTTTATTTTCTATGTCTATAATTCATTTGTTAACAATGTTTAGATTGACAAATGACACACTGAGGTGGGCTGATGGTACTGAAACATGCATATTTCTGTAATTCTGAAGGGCACAGGTTGTTTTAGTCAAGCTTGAAATGTGTATGATGATGCACTTGAGGTATGGAATCTTGGAAAGGATCTACTTGTATGAAAAGGTTTTAAGTCAATGCTTTTGTTAGTAGATATCCTGACATATTATATGACCAGAATTTTGCTTTGGACTCCAAACATTAAATGTGTGGAAGTCTCTGGAGCATCCATGCTTTGACCCCCATATGCTTAAACAACTACCTTGGGCCTCCACACCTAAGTGTTTATACTGTGCTACATTTAGATTTCATTTTTAGAGAATATTATCTCGCAATTAACAAAGCATCAAACTGTTAACTAGTTTATTAGTCTATCATGTATTGTTTATCGATCTCATACCCTCATAGTTTAACCTATCTCTTGATTATATTGCCAAGGGAAAATGTAGTTCTGACTTCATCGTTTTATATATTCCTGTAGCCACAACAAAAGTAAATACTTATGTAAAATCAAACTAAATAAATATTAATGAATAAATGATAATTAATATAGATGTAGATACTGAGTAAGGTGGGAAGGTCAAGACACGCTATATTTATAGTTCACCATAAGACTAATAAAATTCCAAGTCATGAAATCATATGAACTGTCCCAAGTAGTTTTAATTTTGAG